CATCACAGATTGTACATCGTGCCCTGGGCTCACAATCCAACTGAGCTGTGGATGCCACTATAAGTTTTCAGAGATTGGTGCTATTCTGCTACAGTTTTCAATTTAGGCATTAACAGAAAATAAGATAACTTGCCAAGTTGATTCCCCCTGGCTGTCCCACTCAAAATTAGTTAATTTTATCTTACGGGGTTGACCTTGAGTGGCCTTTAAAGTCATGTGAAACTGGAATTGAGTCTTCCACCTAATAGTACTGCCCCTATCATCTAGAGAAATGAAAAAAACACTATTTGCATCCTGTGATATTAAAGAAAATTCCCCCCTCTCCCCCAGCATATGGGAACTGTGACATAACATTAAAGTTTCTCTGGCTTGTTATGAAGTATTTAAATGTCAGTGCCATTTCTGAGATCATCAGGGCAGATTTAATGGTGGCCAAGGTCAACAAATGCTAACTGGAACCTCCCTTTTAGGGCCTTGAGGGACTTTTAATCGAGTCTCAGTCACGAAGTTAATTTGCAGTGTGGGCCTTTATCTTTAAATCTGCTCCTGGCAATTATTTTTATACCATCCCTGTTCATGTGCTGAGATTTCTTATCACATTTTGGTCCCTTTAGTCAATAAAACAAACTGATAAAATAAGGAAACTCTTAGGGATGTTATTTGTGGGGTCCTCTCTTTTTTCCTTTATGAATTGCTTAAAGACTTAAAGAGGGATGGATATGGTTCTCTTTAGAGCCCATCAAAACCTCAGAGCTATGGCCAGTGGGATCATTTGAGAGCAACTTGCATGCACTCCCATCTCTGATCCTGAGGTCTATGGGAACCACCCCAACTTGTAGCCCCATTCCCAGGAATGACCTAAAGTTGGTAAGGTGAGACTTGAGATGTGTAACAGGTAGCTACAGGATTCTCTCATGGTCTCTTTTCTCATATACAGTATATCCTATAATCATGCACTCCATCTTTTATTTGTTTCCCCAAATCCCTTTTTGTGTGGTGTCTAATTGAGACGATAAAGTCCATGGGACAGGGAACTGTGTTTTTATTCGTCTATGAAATCATCGTGCACAGCGATGGCATCAAACAAATAAAAACAAACAACTCTGCTTGTCTTCTGGAATCATGGTGCAATTCTGGTAGGTGGCCCATCAGCCTCTGACTTCTGAAATATTTTAATGTCCTGCACTTGTCACCCAATCCAGAGCATCAAACATTGCATACCCATTTAGCACTGACGCTAATACAGATGCCACCAACGCATTGGACTTCATGTGGTGTGCATGACTTTCACTCTCGGTGGAACCGAAGAATAAATTTTTGTGAAAACAAAACTGAATCATAGATCAGTATTTTGGGGATAATCTGCCTAGTCTTTTCTATGCGGCCTGCACAAAACTTCAAAATGAGGGAGCTGAGGGGCAGGCAAAAAGAGTTGATGTGATTGTTTATATAAGGAATGTAATAATGCATGCAAAAAACGTATATAGTTGGATTACATTCCTCTCCAACCCTTAGTATGTTGTTTGCATTCTTAAATATAAACTCTTTGGGACAGAGATTGTCTCCCAGCGCATATGTACTGCCACTAATCCGTTGTGTGTGCTACCAGAATCCACAAAGTAATTTTCTGCTCATCATTGACCACCAAATTTCAACTTGCTAGCTGCTGCTAAAGTAGTTTGTTTATCTTTAACAAACCTGGCTTCTGCAATTAAACAAAATTAAATCTTTGACAAAGGGCCTGAGGGCTGAGACAGAGTTTAAATGCAATATGTTACTGAAATTAACGCACACGTCGAGAAAAAGAGCTGTGAGTGATTCACTGCTGTTCTGATGTGCACAGCAACACAAATGCTTAACTGCCGAGACAAACCGCAGTGCAAGGATACTCCTGGATAAAATCTGGATTGTGATGTCCATTACATAATAGCCATGAGTAGAACAAACCCACTATAGTTCACTTTTCATTGGGAAGACAAATGTGAATTACAACTGTCTTTTTTCTGCTTTCTTTCTTTTTATCAGAGTATAATCACTTGCCCAACTTAATTGAAAAATCACTTACGTTTATAGCTGAATTTAAACATGTTTTTTATTTAAATGACAGCGTTTGAAGTAGAACCATATTTTACAGAAAGTAGTCGGTTTTTATCTGTGTTTCTGTAAAGACATTTCAAAAACTCTCATCAAATTTCCGGCGGTAAGTAATATCCCATTCAGTGCAAGGTGAAATGTTTTACATCAGATCTCCTGCCGTGTAATGGCCAATCAAAGAGTATTTATAGTGGCTGAATGGATTTTTTGGCTTGGCATTCAAAATTAAACATTTTCATACATTAACATTTAATGTTTTTTGCCACTCTTCAAGTTGATTTTATGTAACCCTAGATACTCACAACTACTTGGTACTCTGAAGCTGCTTGTTTGTGAGGAGGATCCTACAGACAGTAGTTTCTTATTTATTGCACTTGTGTAGCCTGATTGAAATGTAGATTTGATAGCAGGCTTATCTCTGCCTTTTGATAAACATTGTATGAGTCTTGCTAGGTGCCCATCAGCACAATGCATTGAATCTCTCAGTACCCGCATGACAGCTTTACTCTGTGAACTGATGGCGAGAAACAAATTTTGCTACTGAACAATACAATTTAACACACACCGTGTTACAATTTGCAAGATGATAGCTTGTTTCTCTTATTGTAGGTGTCCAACAAGAAGAGTCCGTGCCAGCTGCCACCTTTGGAACTGGATGGTTCCTATCTAAGTATAGCAAGACCACAGATGTTACACAAGAACAATAAAACATCACAGCCTGGAAGTCCAGTCCTGTTTTCAGTACCTCAGGACTGTAGAAATAATCATGCATATGGGACTGCGACCCACTACAACCAAAAGGAAGTTCTGAATGAATGTCCAGTGGAAAATGGCTTTCATCGAAAATGTAACAATAGGATGTTGTCAGCAATGCCAAGTGCCCCATACCACACACACGTGGCTCCTGATGTGGGCCGGAGGATGAGTGATTTTCAGAACACTTGTTCTCAGCAAATGAGTCATTGTGCCTGTAGCCAGCCAGGAAGCTCAGAGAATGTTTGGGATAACCAAAAGGTCAGCCATGGACCCAAAAGACATTCTGGGTCACTTCCTGAAACCTGGGATTACCTGAGACTTTCTCGAGTGCCTGGGATGAATGACAGTGTAGACTCTGGATCAAAAGAAACCGAGCACAGTAAAAGGCTCTCTGAGGAAAGAAGGCAGCAGCTTCTGCTGCAGAAAATGGAGCTGGAAGTTGAAAAGGAACGTCTCCAACATTTGCTCACTAAGCAGGAAGCAAAACTACTTCTGAAGCAGCAACAGCTGCACCAATCCAGGCTGGATTACAACAGGTGAGTTTGCGAGGTTTATAGATATAGGATAATTTTTAGTAAAGAATTTCTGTGGCATCGAATATTTATATGGAGTATTGAGAAACAGAGTAAAACATGCTCTGTGCCCTAAGGAACTTGTAATTTAAACAAGATGAGACTATAGCCACAATGCTAAATGTGGGATGACCATTAAGGTAAAGAAGAGCCTTAAAGAAGTTGGTCCAGAATAAGGGAGGAAGATTGACAGAAGACATTAACTTTGAGGAGGATTGAAGGAGGAGCGAGTGCATTGGTGCACTAGAATAAGGAGTTTAAGGAACAGCATCATAGAAGGTGCCAAAACCATGAGTGGGAGAAAGATAACGTGAGCAGTAAGGCTAAAGTGTTAGAGAAGACAAAGGAAGCAGGAAAAGGAGTACAAGGAAATGCAAGCTGTAGATTTGAGTACTGATGTTTTACCCGTAAGGGAAGATGTGGTTCTTCAGTCAAGGGATTATGTGTGTCTCTGTATTATCCACATCTGATTTACATGAAAACCCCAACTGAGACTCCAGACTTGAATTCTGGATGGTGTTGGAGGAAAGGTGACCTGGGAAAAGTGGGTTTCAAGAGAGATTTAAACAGGGAGGTGGTTTTCTGGGAAGTTTAGAAAAGAGGCCTGAGAATCGAGTTAGAGGCGCTGTGGGAAAAGACACAAAGATAAGTGGAAAGAAGATACAAGACTGTCATTGGGGTGGAGGCAGGGGAGATACTTAAGCCGCGGGAAGCTTAGTGAAGAAGAGGCAATTGGAACAGTGATATAGGCGGGTCAGAACTGCTCAGCATGTTGAAGTGAAAATGAGATCCTTTCACTCTGTGCAGAAGGTGAGTGTGAGCCCAGGGAGAAATTTGTGTGAGGGTTTGACAGTGGTAGGAGGGAAGAATAAAATGTTGCTACTAAATCATGTAGACTGGCAAGGGGGAGGAGTCAGAGGGGATGTATTGAAACTACAAAAGAGAAAGTTACTTGAGAAAGTCAGGCTACAACTCAGCTGAATATGCGGATTTCAGTGGAAGGGAGAGGGAGGAATGAATGGATGTTAGCAGTCTCCTATAGGGAGCAGCAAGAGGATTTGATGAGAGCTTTGATGTAGATGTTACTTTAAAAGCGTCATTGGCGAGGGGATCCCTCAAGATTCTTCATGACATGACCTGCATCCCACGCATGCATTCTCTCCCTTCCCACCAGCCCTACAATTGCTTTTCAAGTATTAAAAGGGATTATTAGAGCTGACGTGTTTTGCCTGCATAACTTGTACTTTAAGCAACTTTCTCTGCTGCTTTTATATATAAGAATACATTTTTGGATTGCGTATGTTTAGCATGTTTGATCGGAGGCAGTCACAACTGTCTGTGTTAGTGTGACAGGGAAGTCCCCTCCCCGCTGGAATGGTACTTCCTCTGAGGTCACTGGGGCATAGCTCATGAGGTTGACACCCCTTGCAGTGTCTGTACACCATCTCTCTATCTCTTCTCTTGCTCTGCCTAACTCCCCCGAACTGCCTCGTCGTGGCTTAGCCCACCAGCCTGGACACCAAATGGCTTTCTCCTTAGAGTACTGGAAAATCTTTCCTCTCCAGCAGCCGTTGGCAGTCTTCCGTTCACTGCCTCGTCGTGCCACTCCCTTAATGGCTGGCAGGAGAATCCAGGCCCAGCCTCTGCTCCGAGTTCTGGCTCAGAGCCTTCAAGGCCTGTTGCCCGTAGACCATAGTGCCTTTACCTCAGCCCTGCCCTACCTTCCTGGCTCTCCCCTCCTCTGTGTTTTTGGGCTTGCACCTCCCTTCTCTCAGGGAACGACTGCAGACTCTCCTAGTAGCCCGCTGTATTTCCAATTTCCCGTCTTTATAGTCCCAGCCGAGATCATTCCTCCTCAGCTGGACCCGCTCCCTGAGTCATGTGATGACTTGGCCACATGACTCCCCTCAGATTTTCCAGCTGTATTCACCCTTTCCAGGCCAGTGTGGGGGGAACACTCCATCACAGTAGGAAATGACAGAGGTCACAAACAAAGGATTATAGTTTGTGGTGGGAAGGCAGGTGGGAACAGATGTATTCATAAGAACAGTCAGTTTGGATCCAGCCAGTGGTCCTTCTAGCTGGGTATTCTGTCTTACAACAGTGGCCAATACCTGGTGCTTCGGAGGGAATGTACAGAGCAGGGAATCATGGAACAATCCATCTACCGTCATCCAGTCCCAGCTTCTGGCAAATGGGTTAGGGGCACTTCAGAGCATGGTTTTGCATTGCAGCTCATCCTGGCTAATAGCCATTAATGGACCTTTCCTCTATGAATTTATCTAGTTCTTTTTTGAGCCCTGTTAAAGTCCTGTCTTCAGAACATCCTCTGGCAAGGAGTTCCACAGGTTGACAGTGTGCTGCATGAAGAAAAACTTCCTGTTGTTTGATTTAAACCATCTGCCTATTAATTTCATTTGATGACCCCATATTCTTGTGCTATGAGAAGGAGTAAATAACGCTTCCTGATTTACTTTTTCCACAGTAGTCATGATTTTATAGTTCTCCATCATATCTCTCCTTTGTCATCTCTTTTCCAAGCTGAAAAGTTCATGTTGTTAATATTTCCTCATATAGAAGCGGTTCCATACCCCTAATCATTTTATTGCCGTTTTCTAATTTAGTATATCTGTTTTTGCAATGAGGCAACCAGACCTCCCCATAGTACTGAAGATGTGGGCGATCCCATGGATTTCTGTAGAGTCAATATGATATCTTCTGTCTTATTATCTATCCCTTTTCTAGTGACTCCCAGCATGTTGTTAGCTTTTTTGAATGCAGCTGCACTTTGAGTGGATGTTTTGAGAGCACTGTCTACTATGACTCCAAGATCTTTCTTGAGTGGTAACAGCTAATTTAGACCCCATCATTTTATATGTATAGTTGGGATTATGTTTTCCAATGCACATTAATTTTCATTTATCAACATTGAATTTCATCTGCCAGTCACCCAGTTTTGAGACACCCCTTTGTAACTCTTCAGAGTCTGCTTTCAACTTAACTATGTTGAGCAGTTTTGTTCCATCTGCAGATTTTGCCACCTCGCTGTTTACCCCTTTTTTCAGATCATTTCTGAATATGTTGAACAGCATTGGTCCCGATAGACACCTCTGGGAGACACCACTATTCTCCTATCTCCATTATGAAAACAGGCTGTTTAATCTTCAAATATCCTATTTCTATACATATGTCCCACTAAGAAAAAATATGTAGATATGAGGACACACAGGCAGAGCTGCTTTTAAAATGAATGTTTTCAGAGTCTTCTGAGAGGCACTGGCTGGCCAGCAAAAGGACTCTTGAATGTCTCTGTAATGATGTCATTGGTATTGCTATAATTGCACCTATTTTAACCAGTTCTGAGAAGATTTCCACTTCTGCAAAGTTGTAGTTGCTAGGAAAAAAGTACAGAGGAAAGTCCATAAATTAATAGTCTGAGTCTTGAACATACCATTATCTCTTCCCAGAGGTGTAGAGGTTTGTACATTTTCCATCTCATCTTCAAATAAGGCTCCTATACTATTGCAGTAAAAAATAAGTGAGTGTTTTGCAGTCTCTTTAGAGTTAAATACAAAGGAACTAGCTACATACAATATCTGCATATGCCTAATATTTACAGGTGTCCTCCTCAAGCATCACCTTTCCTATTCTAGTTTTAGCTTTGTGATTCTCCTCTTTGGTCTCTTTGCTAACCACAGAATTGCTTCTGTACACAGGTTGACACTCTCTTAATTGGGATTCTCTGGTCTTGCAACATCCATGGTCTAGCATGGATGTAGCAGGACCAGAAAGTCCCAGAGGAGGGCCAGTGGTAAGGATTCCTGAGGGGCAGGCACGCAGGGAGCTGATGGCAGGGCCGCCAATCACGTGGCAGTGGGGCTACCCAGCAGGGTTGGGCACCCTGGCACGTGGGTGCGTGGTGGGCCGGGGATCCCCATCAGAGATGGCTGCCCAGTGGGGTTGGCAGGCCAGCGGGGCCAGCAGGAGGTGGGGAGCCAGCCAGGAGGCCAGTGGCCAGGCCAGGGGGGTTGATGGGAGGGGTCCAAAAGCAACCTCCTCTGGTCTGGCAAAATCCCTCATCCAGGACCAGTCAGGTCCCAGGGATGCTGGATCAGGGAGGTCCAACTTGTGCTGCAAATGACAAGGACTTGTTTACTTAATCATTCAAGTACACCTTGCTAAATGATCAGGAAGACTCACCAAGGAAGACACTTAAGCTATTCACTTGTCTTTCACCACCACCAGCATAGTAAAAAACAAACAAAACCAGCAAATACTCTCAGTGGGTAGAAGTGTACAGTGCAGGACTAGGCCCATTATGGGACGCTACAGGTGGCATCATTTAAATGAGAAGTAAAAAAAGATCCTGGCCACTTGTACTAGTTAGTGGCTCTTAAAAGGCCCATATTTCTTTTTCCAAGAGCAGGGGTCAACCTTTTTTCATGGCAAACTCTTGTCTCTCTAAATTCCCTCCTGCAGTTTCCAGTGGACACAGTATTCTTCAATCCCATGTGCTCTACTTGTATAATAGATTCCACTTCTCATATCAGAGGTGGCTGCCTTTCAGTGGAGGCGGGGGGGATGATTCCTCTAGGTGTGTTTAATTACACTTCAGGGCAGCCCAAAATTATGCTGGCTTGAGGTACAGAAGAGGCCATCTTCAATTCTGGCTCAGTGGCAGATTTAAGGTTCTTTCTGTTACTCTCTACGAAGACCAGAAATTGGATCACTATACAAACAGAAAGGGAAACTTACCAGCATGCTATTTTCCATCTTGATCCAAACAGAGAAGATACTCAGATAAATAGTCTGTCTTCACAGACAAGGTCAGCTCCCATACTACTGCACTAGGCAACTCAGAATGGGACGGAGGTGAGCAGCCCTCAGTGGAGAAAGAACAGGTTAGGAACAATTTAGAAAAGCTAGACATACACAAATCCATGGGTCCAGATTTAATGCATCCGAGGGTACTCAGGGAGTTGGCAAATGTCATTGCAAAGTGCTTGGCTATTATCTTAAAAAACTCATGGAGATCGGGAGAGATCCTGGGTGATTGGAAAAAGGCAAATGTAGTGCCCATCTTTTAAAAAAGGGAAGAAGGACAACTCAGGGAACTACAGACCAGTCAGCCTTACCTCACTCCCTGGAAAAATCATAGAGGGGTTCCTCAAGGAATCCATTTTGAGGCACTTGGAAGAGGGGAAAGTGATTAGGAACAGTCAACATGGATTCACGAAGGGCAAGTCGTGCCTGACCAATCTGATTAGCTTCTATGATGAGGTAACTGGCTCTGTGGATGTGGGAAAGTCAGTGGATGTGATATACCTTGACTTTAGCAAAGCTTTTGATACGGTCTCCCACAATATTCTTGCCAGCAAGTTAAGGAAGTATGGGTTGGGTAAATGGACTGTAAGATGGATAGAAAGCTGGCTAGACTGTCGGGCCCAACGAGTAGGCTCGATGTTAGGTTGGTGGTGGTCAGTTTCTAGTGGAGTGCCCCCAGGATTGGTTCTAGGGTTGGTTTTGTTGAACATCTTTATTAATGACCTAGATAAGGGGATGGATTGCACCTGCAGCAAGCTTGAGGATGACATGAAGCTAGGGGGAGAGGTAGATACACTGGAGGGCAGGGATAGGATCCAGAGGGACCAAGACAGATTAGAGGATTGGGCCAAAAGAAATCTGATGAGGTTCAACAAGGACAAGTGCAGAGTCCTGCACTTGGGATGGAAGAATCCCAAGCATTGTTACAGGGTGGGGACCAACCAGCTAAGTAGCAGTTCTGCAGAAAAGGACCTAGGGTTACAGTGGATGAGAAGCTGGATATGAGTCAACAGTTCGCCTTTGCAGCCAAGAAGGCTAATGGCGTATTAGGGTTCATTAGGCGGAGCATTGCCAGCAGATCTAGAGAAGTGATTATTCCCCTGTATTCGGCTCTGGTGAGGCCACATCTGGAGTATTGTGTCCAGTTCTGGGCCCCCACTATAGAAGGGATACGGACATATTGGAGAGGGTCCAGTGGAGGGTAACCAAAATGATTAGGGGGCTGGAGCACATGACCTACGAGGAGAGGCTGAGGGATTTGGGTTTGTTCAGTCTGCAGAAGAGAAGAGTGGGAGGGGATTTGAGAGCAGCCTTCAACTCCCTGAAGGGAGGTTCCAAAGAGGCTGGAGAAAGGCTGTTCTCAGTAGTGACGGATGGCAGAACAAGGAGCAATGGGCTCTAGTTACAGTGGGAGAGGTCTAGGTTGGATATTAGGAAAAACTATTTCCCTAGGAGGGTGGGGAAGCACTGGAATGGGTTCCCTAGGGAGGGGGTGGAATCTCCATCCCTGGAGGTTTTTAAGTCCTGGCTTGGCAAAGCCCTGGCTGGGTTGATTTAGTTGGAATTGGTCCTGCCTAGAGCAGGGGGCTGGACTTGATGACCCCCTGAGGTCTCTTCCAGCTCTGAGTTTATGAAAGAAGGAACATCATCTGCTGAGACCTGTAGCTCCCAGGACCTCATGACCATCTTAAAGCTGGAGAATAGCTGCAATGTCCAATACTGCATGCAGCTTCCATGCTGCCCTTGAGTGCTTGCCTGGTGCTAGGGTACTCTTCCATGTGCTGAAGAGCAAACATTTGCCATAATATTCAGTCTCCAGTTTCTGGAAAGCAAGTGGTTTGTAGTCAGTAGAAGTAAATAATTTTGTCAACCGCAGCCCAAGGAAACAAAGGTAACAGGTGGAAGCTGTCTCTCCTAAGCTGGGGGAACCGGGAGAGAAAATGGAGGTGTTTTGTGAAAGCTTCTCTGTGTGAAGTGCTGTGTGTGTTGGGGTCTAGGGATAGCTACAGCACAGCAGCCTCTCTAGGATGCAAAGCTAACTTAAATTCTCCTTTCTAGATTTAAAGGCCAAGCTCCTGATTCCGAAGTAGTCGCTGACAAAACTCCAGGTGGGCCGGGGGGACCAGCCCTTATGATGAACGGTACTGGCAGGGGGCTAAGGTAATCTTTCATTTTCTTTAAACCACTAGAAAGTGCTTCTAAGTGTTGGTGTATTTGCTTCATTTTCAAAAAGATGTTACTTGCTGCCACATGCATATTTTTGGCCTGTACTTCAGTTGGGTTTGGGTTAAATGCTAACCCAGGAAAGACCCCATGAACTAGTCTAGCTTGGTCTCCAGAAAATGTATTCATAACTCAAAGAGAGGCCAGCATTGTGGTTAAAGAGCTTGATGGGCTCTCAGGAGAGCTCGCTTCCATTCTCTGTTGTGTCACACACTGTGTGTTTGATTCTGGCTCATGCTGCAGGACTATAAAATTGCAGAGTAAGTGGGAACCCTGGACTCTAGAAAAGTGGTCCCCAACAGTGGTCCCCGCCGGAGCATTTACGTGCGCCTGCCAAATGATCTGGGCCGGCCCCGGGCGCACAGCGCATGCGCGTGCGGCGCATGGAGTCCAAGAGCCTGTATGCCTACAATGCAGCTCTATAGCCCGAACCAGCTGACACAGGCCATCCAGGAGGGCTTGAATGCAATGTGAGTGTACCCCTGAGTCTGTCTACCCTGCAGGTCCTCCTCTTTAGAGTAGCAATGGTGCTATCCTTTATTGTCCTGTCTCTTTAGATCATGTAACTAATAATGTATGTAAGCCTTCTGTTGGTAGCAGTTGAAAACCAGAGGGGCCGGGTTCAGTATTGGATTTGGGGGCGGGGGGTTCAACAATGTACCCAAACTGGCTTGAGTCCCCACCCAGTCAACTGGGAAAATTCCAGCCGAGCCAGTGGGTGCCTTTAGAGGCAATTCTTTCCTTCTTGCAAGCACCGAGTCAGACATCGAAACAATCTGTTCAATATCTGTAACCTACGGAAACACACACGAACAAGGAAAACCTGTAGGCAAGGTACCATCCCTGGAGTCCACAGGGTAGAGTCTTTTGCGTAAAGATCTTTTGTCCAATCTCCAACTCACATAATGTACTTTCCCCTCACTTCAAACACCCCAGTCACAGCTCTGTGCAGTCAGTGCAGACCCAGAGTTCGTAGGGATATCATGATGTCTTCCCTCGTTGAGTAGGTGGTAATGTCACCTACGTGCTGCTCCTGCCGGCTACCTGGAATTAGGAATGTAAGCACCTAGTCAACTAGTCAATGATCCAATAAGCATAAGCTTATTGGATAGTCGAGTAGGGACTCGACTAGTCACTTCCCCACCTTGCTGCCTCTATTAGAGGCAGCGGAGGGCAGGGGTCAGAGGCAGGGAGCAGAAGCTGGTGCTGGGAGGAGCCGGCTTAAAAGACAGATCCTCATAGCACCGTCTCCGCGGGGGGTAGGGGAGCCAGAGGTACAGCGGGGAAATTGCGTGAGCAGGGACTGAAGCTCACGCCCCGCTCACCCTGCGGCGCCCAATAACTGCAAGCATTGGCGGTCATATCTTACAGTTCCTACATTTAGTGTTAACACAGTTTGTGACCCCACAACAGCCAAATTGATAACAATAGACAAAACACCTTTTAACAACTTAATATCAAGCAGGCCTAAGCAAAACTTAGGGAACTGTATTTACATAAACATACCCAGGATTTCTTTACCATTTCAGTGTGAACTGTATTTACATAACTGTTGAATACTATCAGATCTAAGTAAACTGGGTGAACATAACCACGCCCACAATTTCTCTCCCATTCCAGCTGGCTGCAATGGAAGCATTGATTCAGACCCTGCTTACAACTATGACATTGAGTTTAAACCTGATCCACTAGTCTTTACTCATGCAAAATTCCCAATGAAGTCATGTCAACTTTTGTGTTTTCTGAAGTCAGTTGGGAGTTCTGAGTGGGTTCAGGTAGCTGTTGCACTTCTCAGAGACTGGAGGAAGTCTACAAGGTCGTTCTATATCTTATTGGCACTTACGGATCACCTGGCCTTTCCTCACTCCAACTCTGAGCAGGAAAATCTTTTGTTTCTAAAGATACACCTCCCCTTTGTGCTTTCTGACCTGACTATCAGTGCAGTATCCTGCTAGACCACAGTCAGGTTGGCGTTGTAGATCATCTTCTGGCCCTGAGCTACTGGTCAAAGACTGTGCACAAGACCTCTTCTCTGCAAAGCAGGAAAGAATAAGAAAGTGTACAGGCTTCCCGACGCCAAAGAAAAACCATCCTCATGTCTAGTGTTCTAAAGCATGCTGCCAGACAAGAACACTAAGTACGAGGAGCACCTTCCTACTGGTCATTCCTCTCCTCCTACCTCCACACATTGACTAGGCATCACGGACATAGGCTCAGTGGTGTGTTGGCTCATCCCGAGCCAACCCTGTAGTCTCTGACCTGATGAATCCTGTTCTCATCCCAGCAAATCATGGCTAGCAAGCAGCAGAAGCCAGGTAAACGTGTGCAGCAGTCAAGGAAGGCAGCACCTGCTGCTGGCCCAGAAATTCCCCCCAGCAGGACTTTCCAGTGAGAAATTTGGGTACCAGCCACGGCTTAGGTTTTTTTTCTTTGCTGCCTGGTGACTTATTGACTGATACTAATTTCCTTCTGTATTTTCTTTTCTTCACCCTTGGTTGGGGCTGGGACGATTGTGTGATAATCGGGCCTTCAAATTTACCCTAATTGTGAGCTCAACAGTGAGAAGCGAATGAAAGTTTATAAAATGTTGCACTAAACTATAATAAATGTGGCTGCGAAGAAGTTCAAGAAGAGAGTGAATTAGTCCAATCCAAAAAGCTTACTGGTTTAATTCAAGGAGTCTGTAAACACGGACAGCATGAGATGCAATCAATGAGCTGACATTGGTGTGTTGGAAATAAGGCATAGACAAAAAGGCTATTTCACCCATCACTCCCTTTTGGGTTCCTTTTAAGAAAAAGACTCTGTGGGGCAGGGTTCCCTCTAAGCTGCGTGCAGAAAAAATGTCCACCTCTGATGCAGAGCTGCGAAGCCATATGGCAGGTGGCAGGAGGCAGCTGGGGCCAGAGGAGCTGCATGGTGGGAGGCTGCTGTATGGCCGGGGCCAGAGGAGCTGTGAGCCACATGGTGGAAGGCTGCAGCAGCGGCCGGGGCTGGAGGAGCTGCAAGCCCCAAAGTAGGAGGCTGCTGTGGCAGGAGGGGCCGGAAGAGCCACGAGCTGCATGGGAGCCTGGGCTGGAGAGTGGTGAAGTAGGTACTGGGGTTGTACCAGAGGGGCCAAGGACAGCGGGGAACCTGGCAGAGAAGCTGGCCGGATGGGGCGCAAAGGCACCAGCCGTCTGTGGTAGTCGGAGGTACTAGGCACAGGTAAATTCTAGGGTGGCGGACGGAGGGCAAGGTGCGGGGTTGGGAACAGGCGAGATGAGGGGCTAGGCTCAGGTCTCTGAGCAGTGGTGCTTGGGCTGTGATAGGCCTAGGTCCTGGCTGTTTGTGTTTTGGGGGGCAGATAGCACGGTCCTGACTTATATACTGGTGGCATATGGGAGGGGGGGGAGACAAATTGCAAGGCTGGGCACAACTACAATGTGTGTGTGGGGTTGGGCAGGTAGCCAGGCCTATACCGGTACCAGCTGGCTGTGTGTGGTCTTGATGGGTGGGCAGTGTGTGTTGGGGGCAGGATCCAGCAAGCTGGGAGGTTTTCAGGGTGGGTGGGTGCAGGGTCTTGCACCTTGTTAATTACCCAGTGTTTTAGTATTTTTTTCTTATATAACAATTTTAAATTATAGATATTTACAGTGTGTGATAGAGCGTGCAGGTGTAATTTTGTTAGTAACTGGTGGGTGCCGCGGTGGCACATGACCTCAGTATGGGTGCACAAGACAAAACTCACACCGCTGACGGACAGCCTTTGAGGGAACCCTGCGGTGGGGAGCGCTGGTTTCCACAATGTTGGCTCACTGAAAACCGGAAAGAGCAAACTTCACCATCACGGCTGCCATCTCCACCCTGTCTTTGGATCCTGGACCTTCGTCATTCTCATCCAAAGAGATGCCCTGATCAAACCAGGCCAGAAGAAGAGGGACCAAGGTGACATCCGCTGGCTTTAGTTACATGCTGAACACCACTTGGAATGTGACACTTTCTCTCTCATACTCCCACCCAATGTGTGTTTTTCCTTTCACACCTTATTTCTTCTCCTGCCCATCTCCCTCCCCCCCCCCCCCCCATGGTTTTTTTTTTTTTTTTGTTGTGTCGCTG